AGAGAGCGCGCGTTCACCATCCCGTCCTCGCTGAAGCGGAATATTTGCCGGTCAACCAGTGGGCCAATTTGGCGGTACCGGATGGAGCAGATGAAGCCTTCGCTCTGCAGGTTGACAGTCTTAAGCACACCAGCAGTCTCGTCATATGTGAAGCTGACCCTGGTCGAGTCATAAAGGATTTCTGCCAGCTTGTTCTGACGAGACAAATATAAAAAAGTGTTACAGTGACGACACAAGCAGGATGTCTGCTGTGCATATCACACCCCATCACCAGCCTACAGCTCATCCAACTGTTTCTTTATGGTTCCACTATGGGTAACTTTCAATGACCAAAAGCAACTGTGAAGTTTGAAGTGGGAAAGATGTTGCAACAACACTGCTGCATGCTGCATGTACAGGACAACTGTACCTTAAACATATACAGACATTTCCTTCCTCATCGGTAACCTTTGACCTTTGTTGAAGAATCAGCTGCATAAAGACATGAATAACCTACCTGTCTGCGGTATTTGTACAGTATACGCCGGCCAGTGCCTAGATGAGCCACCCTCAGGAGCTAAGAAAGAGAAAGCAGTGAATGATTAGCTTTGCTGCTGTTGAGTGAAGTTGATCACATCCAGTGTGTCTCTTACTTGCTAAAAACAAAACACACCTGTCCATCTTCAGAATAATCCACAGTAACAGACGCGTTGCTTTCTGGTGGGGTGTAGATGTTCCTGTAATATCCTATGGATCGGATGGTCTGCATGGTGTGTCGGGCCACGCTGGGCATGGTGACTGCTGACAGGCGGTCCACGGAGTCATAGTCAAAGATGTACTGGTGCTGGCTGTGCAGCAGCAGCACCATGGACTGATGCAGAGACAGGAGGAAGACAATTAGAAGCAGAACACACTGACTGGTCGCGTGGCGGCCTGTAGTGAGAGGCCACAGACGTTATGATTGGATGTCTGAATTACAGTTTCTTATACAGAAAACAAAAGTGGTGCAAATGTTGTAAATGTAGCCTAGATTCACATCAGTCCACACTGCAGATACATGAAGATTCATTCAAGCACAACTGGCACTGCATCGTTTAATCAGATGTTATCAGATAAAGATCCTGATATTGTTGCACCACCTGCTGGAGCTGCGCCTACCGAGGTCATGCAAAGCTCCCCTGCATGTGTGTTAGACAGTTTGACATGAATACCAAAGTGGCTTTTCACAGCACTCAGGGAACACTGACACCACATATGCTGCTCAGATACACCTGATTTGGTCATGAGTGTGTTTTATAGGATACATTTCCACGACCAGAAGAGACACACACATCAAAATAAAGAATGTTGCGCTTCAGTAATGAAATGTGCAATAAAATATGCTTTAATAAATTCATTTACTATTCTTTTATTTATTTAGACATTAGTAAATAATCTATTAATTAATAATGTAAAATGTATCAATGCAAGGTGATGTTGCAATGTAGCAATCAGAGTCTGAAGGCCCAGACAATTCCCAACAGATTGATTTTCCCACGTGGATCATTATGGCTTTGCTATGCTGGTCAGCTTAATTGTCACAGTTTATTTGATCTTTATAATTTTTTGGTACTTTTAAGTTATTACAGTCTGAACAGACACTGTGGGACAGGAAAGATGAAGAGAAGTTAGGAAGTTGAGTTAACAGAAGGAGAGGGAAAAACAGTGGAGAGGGATGGAGAGAGAAAAGACACTGAATCTGTTTGATCACCTGCTGAAACAAAACAGGCAAAAAGAAAAAACATAGCAGGGAAACCATGGCAACAACCCAGAAAAGCATCAGTAAATAATAAGTACTGAATGTTACTGAGCAGCAGGACTGATAATGCAGGATATGTTTGGAGGCAGCAGCCAGTGTGAGTCTGTGAGTACCTGTGTGTGTGTTTGTATTCAACAACCATAAAAAAAAGATTTTCTAAATCATTTAAATTTAAATGTAAAAAAGAAAAATAAATAAATGAAAAGATGTTTTTCTGACATTTAAAATTCCACTCCTCATTTTTGAAATCCACTGAATTTTCCTTTCCTGTTAGCTCACAGATTAGCTTTTAAATGACCAAATAAGATGTTGTTGTTGTTTTGTTTTTTACCGTGCTCCTTTGTCTCAAAGCTTAGCCTAACCAGTTATCAGGTTTAGGGGCGATCACGTTTTCATACAGAGTAAAGGACGTTTGGATTTTTCCCCCTTAACCATAAACACCTTCATTTAGGAACTGTATTTTGTGTTTACTTGTGTCGTATTTGTATAATATATAAATTTGTCTGATGATCTAAAGCATTTAAGTGTGACAAACATACAAAAAATAGGAAAATCAGGAAGGTGCAACGGCTTATTTGAAGAGTTTCAGTCAGGTTTCAGAGCTCAGCACAGACAGACAGCTTTAGTGAAGGTTACAAATGATCTTCTTATGGCCTCTGACAGTGGACTCATCTCTGTGCTTGTCCTGCTAGACCTCAGTGCAGCGTTCGATACTGTCGACCATAATATCCTATTAGAGCGATTAGAACATGCTGTAGGTATTACAGGTACTGCGCTGCAGTGGTTTGTATCATATCTATCTAATAGACTCCAGTTTGTGCATGTAAATGGAGAGTCCTCTTCACACACTGAGGTTAATTATGGAGTTCCACAGGGTTCAGTGCTAGGACCAATTCTGTTTACATTATACATGCTTCCCTTAGGCAGCATCATTAGAAGACATAGCATACATTTCACTGCTATGCAGATGACACCCAGCTCTATCTGTCCATGAAGCCAGATAACACACACCAATGAGTTAAACTGCAGGAATGTCTTAAAGACATAAAGACCTGGATGGCCTGCTAACTTTCTGCTTCTTAATTCAGATAAACTGAGGTTATTGTACTCGGCCCTGAAAAGCTTAGAAATATGGTATCTAACCAGATTCTTACTCTGGATGGCATTACCTTGGCCTCCAGTAACGCTGTGAGGAACCTTGGAGTCATTTTTGACCAGGACATGTCCTTCAACGCACATATTAAACAAATATGTAAGACTGCTTTCTTCCATTTGCGCAACATCTCTAAAGTTACTCCTAGAGTATTTAAAAGTAGAATGGGAGGGAGAGCCTTCAGTTTTCAGGCCCCTCTTCTGTGGAACCAGCTTCCAGTTTGGATTCAGGAGACAGACACTATCTCTACTTTTAAGATTAGGCTTAAACTTTCCTTTTTGCTAAAGCATATAGTTAGGGCTGGACCAGGTGACCCTGAATCCTCCCTTAGTTATGCTGCAATAGGTGTAGGCTGCTGGGGGATTCCCATGATGCACTGGGTGTTTCTTCTGCACTCACTATGTGTTAACAGACCTCTCTGCACTGAATCATATCTGTTATTAATCTCTGTCTCTCTTCCACAGCATGTCTTTATCCTGTCTTCCTTCTCTCACCCAACCAATCACAGCAGATGTATCGAACAATACAACATTTGTAATTTATTTTATCAATTTTCCTTCTGACGATGCTGTCTGTGTTGAGCGCTCAGTGAATCTGTGTTCGACTACTCGCCTAGGCTGCACTGTCGAGCGCAGATCCACTGAGCGCTCAACACAGACAGCATAGTCAGAAGGAAGAGCGCAGGGCAAGCTAGCGAGACAGAAGTTAAGCTCTCCTTGCAACAGGCAAATTGAACCTCATTCAGATCTGGCGTTTGGAATTATTTTGGTTTTCATGTGACGTATGACCCTGAAGGTAAGCGAGTCATGGACTAAAGTAAAACAGTATGTTGGATGTGCCATGCAATGCTCAATTACATGGGTGGGAACTAGTGTGTTAGCGCAGTTAGCTCGTTAACGTGTTGGCCGTCTAGCCCCATGCACGGGGCGATCGGCGGTAGCTCGTTAACGGAGATTTGCCGTGTTGTGGCGTTAAGGTCATTTCAACGAGATTAACCTGAAAGCACTAGTGGGAACACAACGAATATGACTGCACATTTACGCCGACATCATCCTAGTGCAAAGACAAAAACAACAAGCATGCTACTAACTTTAGCCGAGTCATTTAGACAGCTGTTAGCACATGATTCTCCTTATGCTGCTGAGAATATAGCCCAGAAGAAGCGGATAGTATAGCTTTTATTTTGGAAAGAGACATTTCTCTGTAATAAACTCTCTTTTCCAAAGATGAGTGATTCCTCAATCAGATACAGGGCTTGCAATATCGCTAGCCCGACGTCCCGGAGCTAGCGATTTTTTCAGTCGGGCTACCAAAATCTATCTCTTCCCTGCCCGTCGGGCTATTGTAGGAAAAATATATGTCAATGCTTTTGCATTCTTTCAGAAATGTAGCTGGGTAATTATGTCATTGGCATCGGTGAGCCACTGTCAATATGTGACATATTGAAGTCGCGTTTGAATTTGCGCTTGTTTTTTTGCTTTCACTTTGCAATCGTGCGAACTGTGTATAGAGAGCGACAGCACTGATCTGTGAGTGATGATAATTTGTGCACCAATTCCTCTGACATCGTCTTATTAATCGTTAGCTTACTATGCAAACATGACAAGTGAAATCTCCCGCAGCTTAAACATGTGAGAGGTTGATCGCGCAGAGAATCGCTGAGCTTATGTGAGTGCGTGTGTAAAAGCAGCAGTATATATTTCAGTTCTGCTGAGCCAAATAAGACAGGTCAGGGTGAAGAAGTGACAGCCAAAGAAAAGCTTACCACAAAACGGAGAAGTTATGACAAATCAGACTATAAGGCAAAAAGAAAGTGCAGCTTTATGGTTTCATGGACAAAAGAATTTCTGTGGCTGCAATATGATGAGCTAAATAACCAGGGCTGCACATAAGTGGTCCGCAGGTGCGCATTCGCTGTCAAAATAAAAAGATAAGAAGTTGCAACGCGTGTTTGCGTACATAAGATTTTCTGGAGGAGGACAGACATTTGTTTAGAACTCTTAAAGATGTCGAAGAAGCTCCTTTAAGCATTACTGTGATGTTCCTCCACCTCCAAAGAAATGTCAGAAGGAGTCCGAACCACAAAAGAAGCGCGTATTCTCGGAAAAGTGGTTGCAGGAGGTGAGCTGGCTTCAAACAAATGATGAACGCACAGAGATGTGGTGCAGAATGTGCCGTGAAAATCCCACTCTAGCGGACAAAAACAGCTTTTATATGGACGCAAACGCGCGTTGCAACTTCTTATCTGGTGCGCGTCTTTTATTTTGACAGCGAATGCGCACATGCGGACCACTTATGTGCACCCGTGTAAATAACATAATGTTCTGCCGGGTGTGTTGTTGGTTTTCTCTCGATTTCTGAGTCGACAAGCGCCTTTGTTACTGGGACCAGTCATTTTAAGAAAGGCCCCCATTAGAACCCATGAGAAATGCAAGAAATGCATTATTGCTCAGTCTGCAATATCTTTCCCAGAACAAACACCAATCGCAAATAACATACTAAAAATAAACCTGAAAAATCAGTTTAGAACAGCTACTATGTTGCAAAGAGTGAACTACCACTGGCACAATGCAGCAGTCTGTGCAAACTTCAAACAGCAAATGGCCTCGATCTTGGTTCCACTTGTCTCTACCCGTGACTTCAGTGGAAATTTCAATTCAGGATCTGACACAGACTGATTCATGTCCTACACAGTTCTTACAAGTTCATAGAAATTTCTGTTCAATTAGAACCAAGTGTTTGAGTTGATGATTGTAATTTTTATACAATGTTGTAATTTGTGTTTCAACAATTTTTTGATTAATGTTTTGTTTCCTTTACAATATTATACTTTAATGTATAATATTGTAAAGGAAACAAAACATCAATCAAAAAATTGCTCTCTTTTTTATTCGGGCTACTTACATTTATTTTGGGCTAC